CTGAAAGAAGGCAGCTTTTATAAGCATGAAAACAGCCAAAACTCTGAGAGAAAAGACAGTAGATATATAGAAATTTAAATCTTACCTACGTTAAAACAAACAATAAAAAAGGGGGAAAAATTAGCTAGAGCCAGGTGTCTGTGACTCATGCCTGTAATCCTAGCTACTCAGGAGGCAGAGATCAGGAGGACCGCAGTTCAAAGCCAGCCCGGGCAAATAGTTCTCAAGCCCCTATAACAAAAAACGCTATCACAAACAATTGGGCTGGTGGAGTGGCTCAAGGTGAAGGCCTGAGTTCAAGCCCAAGCACCGCAAAAAGAAATTTCTAAGCTAGAAAAAGGCTGTTAGTATGAAATGGTGTGAACTTTCAGAAGAGTACTCTGGCAATATTCACACACAAACACACACACACACACACAGACACTAATGATGGAGAAATGGTTCAACCTGGAGCCCATCATTACAGGAGTGATTACATTACCACAGCAATGCACAATGGAATAGTATCTGGTCATTAAATAATGTAATGCAAATGTGTATTTCTTAAGATGGCAAAACATCCATGGTAAATTAAAAGAGACAAAAAGGTTTAAGGAACAACCTGTGTAGGATAATCCTGTTGGTGTAAAAGTTTTACATACATATAAAAATGGAAACATAGACAATAAGGGCTGGTACAGTAGCTCATATCTGTAATCCCAGCCACTTGGGAGGTAGAGATCAGGAGGATCGCAGTTTGAGACCAGCCTAGGCAGAACATTAGTGAAACCCCATTTCAACAAACGAGCTGAGCATGGTGCAGCATGGCTGTGGTCTCAGGTACCTGGGAGGCATCAGTGGGAGGATCTCAGTCAGTTCACCCTGGCCAAAAACCTAGGAGACCCTATCAGGAAAAATAACTAAACCAAAAAGATAAAGTGGGATGGGGTGGGGGTAAGGTTATGGCTCACTTACTGGACAAAGTAAGCATAAGCCCAGAATTCAAACCTCAGTACCACCACCACCAAAGAAAAAAAAGCCCATAGACAAGAAAATGCCGACAGTGGTCGTTTCTGGGTATAGGAGAACAGGCAATTTTCCTTTTTGGGAGGTGGGAGATTTGAACTCAGGGCCTTCATGCTTGCTAGGCAGATGCTCTTACTGCTTGAGCCGCTCTCCCAGCCCTTTTTTCATTAAAAGTTCTTTTTCTTTCTCTTGCTTTCATTTATTTTAATTTTTACTAGCATATTATAGTTGCACAGGAGGATACATTGCCACATTTACGTATTTGCTTATAATATATCTTAATTACATTCAGATTCACCCTTCCATATTCTCCTTCACCCCCTCGCCCACTTCTTAGAGCAATTTCAGCAGGTTTCATTGTTCTATGTTCATACATGAACACAAAATATTTTCACCTTATGCTCCCTTCTTCACCCTTCCTCTATGCCCTCCCCTGGTACCCTCTTCTGGACAGGCCCTGTTTTCCTTCCTGACCTTCCTTTTAAAAGAATTTTCTGTGAGTAGAGTATGAGAGCTGTACAGGGGCCGTTGTGGCATTTCCACTTATACATGTATTGTACCCCGAATTGGTTCATCCCTCCATTATTCTCCCCCCCACCCCACTCCCTTCTTAAGGTCACTTCCGCAGGTTTCAATGCTCCATGTTCAAAGTCGTATGAAAGTACATCAACCATATTCACATCCTTTACTTTTTTCTTTTATTCTCCCCCTCCCACTGCCACCCTCCCCTCAACATGACCAGTGTCACATCCTCGTCCTTCATTGTTTCGGTGTCTGTTCATTTCTCAGTGGAGATTTTGCCTTGGTATTTTACCTCTAAATACACTGTGCCTAAATCAGTCTAACCTCTCCACTACGCTCCCTCCCCTTTCCCTCTACCCTGCTGTTCACCAGTTTTCAGCGTTTTGTTGTGTCTTGTTCCTACACGCAGTGAGGCATTGCACTATTATTTGCTATCATTCTTTTCTTCTATTCCTCCTCCCTTAGTCTCCTCTAACAGTCCCACTTTCGAAAACATGTTTCTGTTTATTTACATGTTTATATGATAATGCTTCAATTTGTATTGGGTCTACAGTTCTCTATGAGAGAAAATGTGACCTTTTTCTTTCTAAACCTGGCTAACGTCACTTAAGATGATGCTCTCCAGTTCCGTCCACTTACTTGCGAATGATAACATTTCGTTCTTCTTCATGGCTGCATAAAATTCCATTGTGTATAGATACCACATTTTCTTAATCCATTCGTCAGTGGTGGGGATCTTGGCTGTTTCCATAACTTGGCTATTGTGAATAGTGCCGCAATAAACATGGGTGTGCAGGTGTCTCTGGAGTAATCTGACTCATTCTTTTGGGTGCCTCCCTACAAGTTGTATTGCTGTATCGTATGGCAGGTCTATTTTTAGCTTGTTTTTTGTGGTATTGAGATTTGAACTCAGAGCCTTGCCCTTCCTAGGTAGGCGCTCTACCACTTGAGCCACTCCCCTCGTCCTATTTTCAGTTTTTTCGAGGAGCTCCCAAACTGTTTTCATAGTAGTTGTAGTAATTTACATTCCCACCAGCGGTGGGTGAGAGTTCCTTTTTTCCCACATACTGGCCAACATTTGTTGTTCGTGGTGTTTACTGACGACAGCTGTTCTCACTGGAGTGAGGTGAAATCTCAGTGTCGGTTTGATTTATGGAGAAGAATGTGGAGCACGTCTTCATGTATTTATTGGCCATTTATACTTCAGTTCATTTGCCCTTTTAGTCAATGGGGTGTTGATCCTTTGTAGGGTTAGTTTTTTGATCTCCCTGTACAAGTTGGTTATGAATCCTTGTCAGAGGTATAGCTGGAAAAGATTTTCTCCTATTTCCTGTGGGCTGTGTCTTCTGTCTGGTGACTGTTTCCTTTGCTATGCAGAAGCTTTTTAGTTTCATGCATTTGTCACTCCTTTCTCTTACTTGCTGAGCTACTGGAGGGCTATTCAGGAAGTCACTGACCATGCCTGTTTGTTCAGTTTCCCCTTTGTTCCTGTAGTTGTTTCAAAGTTTCAGATCTTATATCAAGATCTTTGATCCACTCTGAGTTGATACTAGTCCAGGGTGAGATTGGGACCTACTTTCAATTTTCTTTAAGTGGATAGCCAGTTTCCCAGCACCATTTGTTGAAGAGGCTCTTGTCTCCAATGTTTGTTTTAGGCTACTTTGTCAAAATCAAATGGCTGCAGCTGTGTGGATTTGTGTCTGGTTCTTCTATCCTGTTCCATTGGTGTTTTTGTCTGTTTTTGTGCCAGTACCATGCTGGGTTTTTTTGTTTGTTTGTTTTGTTTTCTCATGCTGTTTTTATTACCGTAGCCTTGCAGTATAGTTCCAAGTCAAGTATTATGAGATCTCCAGCCTTGCTCTTTTGACTCAGGGTTGCTTTGGGTTTTCGAAGATTCGTTTTCTATGTCTGTGAAGAGTGTTTCTGGAATTTTGATGGGGATTGCATTGACATATGGATTGCTTTCAGGAGTACAGCCATTTTTACAACATCGGTTCTGCTGACTCATGAGCACAGGATGTCCTTCCATCCGCCAGTGTCTACTTTGATTCCTGTCTTCAGTGATTGACGGTTTTTGCTGTATAGGTCTTTTACTTCTTTTGTTAAATTTATTCCTAGGTACCTGAATTTTTTAATGCTTTTGTGAATGGTATTGTTTTCTCCATTTCTTTCTCAGACTGTTCATCATTTGTATATAAAAAGGCTGCCAATTTTTGTGTATTGATTTTTTATCCTGCCACTTTGCTGAAAGTGCTTATGAGATTTAAGAGTCTTTTGGTGGAGTTTCTAGGGTCTTTCAGGCAGAAGATCATATCGCTTGCAGATAGGAACAATTTGTTTCTTCCTTCCTTATTTGAATCCATTTTATTTTTTCTCCTGTTTTATTGCTCTGGCTAGGAATTCCAGTATTATGTTGAACTAATGTGGGGATAGTGGACACCTCTGTTCTCATTCCTGATTTTAGGGGAAATGGTTTCAGATTTCCCTGTTTGGTTAATGTTGGGTATAGGTTCTTCATATATAGCCTTTATAATATGAGGAATGCCCCTCTATTCCTAATTTCTTCAGAGCTCTGATCATAAAAAGATGTTGATTTTTACTGAAGGTGTTTCTGCCTCTATTGAGATGACCATGTGGTTTTGGTTCTTGATTTTGCTACGCGTCATATTACACTTACTGCTTTGTGAATGTGCCTTCCTTGCATCCCTGCATGAAGCCTACTTAATCATGATATATGATCTTTTCTATGTTTCTTTGGATTTTGTTAGCAAGTATTTTACTGAGGATTTTTGCATCTATTCTCATCAGGAATATTGACCTACAACTTTTTTTTTTTTTTGACATGTCTTTTCTTGGTTTTAGTAATAGGGCAATACTGTTTTGTACAATGAGTTTGGCAGGATTCCTTGCTTTTGCATTTTATGGAATAGTTTGAGGAGCATTAGTGTTAGTTCTTCTTTAAAAGTCTGACAGAAGTCAGTAGTAAAAAGATAGACCGGGTATGCAGAAATTAAAAGCAAGCATGTGTAGCTATTCCCATATCAGACAAAGAAGATTTTAAGCAAAAATTAGTCAGAATTAGTATTACATACCAAAAAACGGAATAATCCAGCAAGGAGATATAGCAATTCTAAATAGATATGCATTGACCATTGGTGCCCCCAAGTTCATAAGACAACCACTTCTGAGCATAAAAGAACAGACAGGACCAGATACGATAATAATGGGAGATCTCAATACCCCAGTCTCATTAACAGACAGAAAGACAAAAGTTATCAAAAGATATCCTAGAACTGAACATTATCGTGAACAACAAAGACTTAACAGACACATTTTTCTCAGCCACCCATGGAACTTTCTCCAGAACATATCACAACTTAGGTCATCAAGCAAACCTCAACAAGTACAAAAAACCCGAAATAATTCCCAGTGTCCTAATGGACCATAATAAAATGCCTCTTGGTGGCAGTTACCAGAAGAAAGCGGAAGAAGAGCTAAACCTCATCCATTCCCTGGTCATCCCAGGCCACAACTCCTCCTCCTTCTCTGACTTCTGTCACAGTGATTCTATGTCACCAATCACTCATGCCAGGTTGTGTGACTTCTTGTTTTTGAGATAACTCAGCAGCATAGGAACGGGCCTGGAGAAAATAGAGGCGGTGTTCATCCAGGGAGTTTGCTAGGCTGACATTGTGGAAAGACACACAGACCCATTCAGGATATTGCCATGAAAGACTGTTCGAACAGACTGTGTAGGAAAGTGCCGTTAAATACTATAGGGTGGGTTTTCTTTTTTCCCTTTCTCCTTTTTTTGGCTTCAGGTTTTTCCTCTGAGAATGAATGAGGGACTGGGTCATGACCTCCCTACCTCATTACAGTTCCATTTTTAACACTATTTCACAGAATGGAGCTGGAAGGAAGGAGCTGGCGTATTTGGGTTTGTTGTGTCCTGGTGGCTTGTAGAAAAGTGGTTGCGAGTTGCATGTCATGCTACCTAGCCTTTTCAGGGCTGCTGTGCATTTGTCTTGTATCAGCTGGGACTGCAAGTGCACATTTTCAGAGAAGAGGTATGTCTGTGTGCACAAGTATTTGTATAATAAAAATTTGTCATTCTATTACCAATAAGAAATAAAAATTCAATGGTAGAGGGAAGTTTCATCAACCACACTTATTAAGGAACGATCTTTCCTTTTTCACTGTGTGTCTGTCGTATGCTTCAGAGAATGAAGTTATGGAAACAGAAAAACAAGCACAGGAAATAGGCAACTGCGGAAAGTGCACAGGTCAGGGAAAAGCGTATGTCAACAACCGAGCAGCGTTTATCAGCTAAGGCACCTTCCTCAAAGCCTGTCCCAGTCACTGCAGCCTCTGTTGTGACCCAGAGCAAAGGCCAGAGAGTAAGGGGAAGGAACCTGAGGGACGTCCGGTAGTCCCAGGTGTCAGAGTGCATGAGCCTTGGGCAGCCTCTGCAGACACTGGGTTCAAGGGAAGGCAGCTGAACATGAAATGTTAAAAGGGGCTCAAATAGGCATTTCCAAAGGAAGAGGAAAGGAAACAGATTCTGTCCGTCTGTCTGGTGACTACACTTTTACAAATGCACACAGTGAGGCAAAACTAAGCAAGTTTATAGTAATCTAGGAAAAAAGTGTTGAAAACATATAAAACTTACAGTACTCGAGTCTGACTTTAAAAACCTAAATACCAAATGCACTTATGGTATGATTTTAATTTCAAAATCATCATGCAGGTAGCAAATAAGAAAAGAGAACAGGAAAAAAAGCCAAGTTTAAATAAGTAAAGGATAGCGATGGACTGTCTTCCTTTTTATTTATATAAATGTATCTATATTTGTGCAAAGAAAGAAAAATGCAAAAGGAAAAAAAAAACCTACTTCTTCTCTTACATAAGAACTTTCCTATTCACTGTATTCCCGGGGCCACACGCCCATTTCTGCCATCACGGTGGCTGTCAATCCTGCCAGCATACCAAAGCCTTTCTCCTCCTGTCAGCGGCTCATGCTGCAAGTTCCTTCTGAGCTGGGCTGGACATCCTGACATGACAGGAAGTGGAACCCGAGCAGATATTCCTTTCGGAAACACAGAAGCCATTCTTAGCCCCAGTTAGAAGGTTGAAAGACGATCTTGTTCTTCTCTGCCTGCCTGACTCTGTGGACGTGGCAAGAAGGAAAAAACTCTTCCAGAAGTAGCCATGGAACAGCAGAGTAAGGATGAGAAAGACACAGAGAGAGGGACTGGAGGTTGAGAAGAGAGAAAACAGCTTTTTCTTGCTCCTAAGAAAGTTTCGGAGGCATGGTAACAGTACGATCGTTAAATATTGAAGCAAGGAAGAGAGACATCACTTCAGATGTCTGGATGCAAGTCTGGAAGCACTTGTGATGGAAATGGACTGCACCACGACTTCTCTACCTTAACTGGGAAGACATGGACCCACTGACAGACACCACGAACAACTTCATTCCCACCTCTTCACGTCATTGGTCCTTTCATCAGAAGAATTGTCACACACACTGGCCTTATTCTGAAACCCACAAAAGGCATCCTTATTATCAGAGGCTCTTAATAATCAGAGCCTTTTGAAATCTGTTGAGAAAACAGAAGCTCCGCTTAGGAAAAGATAGGGATTGTCAAAAGTGTTTTCTTTTAGCTGAAACAGGGATGAGCTATTTTCAGTTTTCTAGGCCAGAAGGTTTGAAATGAGAAGAAACGTTTCTTCTAGTCTTAAGGCCAAGACTAGTCACAAATCTCACATTTTAGACTGTTCTGCTAGGGGACGGTAAAAAGTCCCTTCACACCTGGGAGATTGGGGGCAGTCATGTGGTGTGTGCTGGTGAACAGAGAAAGGCTGAGTTTACAGTCAGAGAACTGAAGCTGTCGTGATTTCCATCATCCCCTCAGCATCCGGCCCAGCTCCTGAAGCAGCGACTCGCACCTTTGTACTGTAACCTCAGACAGTCACCAAGGCCAAAGTGGTGTGATGGGGGCTCATTGCCACCTCACCTACATAGGATGTCTGGTCCTTGGAAAGGCCAGGGCAAAGGAAAGGCACGCTGTGCTCCTGTGGTCATTGCAAAAGCCTTCCACTGAAGCTCAGTGGACACAAGGGTCACCCACCTCAGTATCCCCACTCCAAACTCCGAAAGATCAGAATACCCGAGTGACAAAAACATCTGAGTAAATGACACTCTTGTTTCATTTTTTTGTTCATTCTTTAAAAAGTTACCTGGGCTGGCGGAGTGGCTCAGGTGGTACAGCACCTGCCTAGCAAGCATGAGGCCCGAAGTTCAAACCTCAGTAACACCAAAAAAAATAATAATAATAAGTTACCTGATGCCCAGTGTGGTGGCACACTCTTGTACTCCCAGCTTCCTAGCTACTAAAGAGGCACAGATAGAAGGATTATGGTTCCAGGCCCACCTAGGCAAAAGTTAAAGGCACTCACTGTATCTTAAAGACAAATCAGGTATGATAGCACATGCCTGTAATCCCAGCTATTCAGGAGGTGGAGTGAGGTGACTGTGGTGTGAGGTCAGTCTGGGGAAAGTAAAAGACCCTATCTGAGAAACAACTGAAAAGAAACAGATGGAGGTGAGGCTCAAGTGGCAAAGTGCCTGCCTAGCAAGTGGGAGGCCCTAAATTCAATCCAACAAGCAGACAAACCTTTTCTTTGCATTCTGGCCATGATGAAGTAAAAGGAACCAGATCTGCCCTCTCAACTTAAACAACTGAAAAAAAAACAGACAAAGTACACAAAGAAACATTTTTCAGAAACTAGACGACAGACAGTTCAGGGCAGTGACCTTAGGATCTCAGGAGGCCCTAGGACTGTCCCAGTTTACTTGGAGGGACCTTAAACAGCTGGAGGGCAAGGAGCCTGGCATGGCATGGTGATCTCAGAGCAGAGTGCGAGGGAGGCAGGGCTGCTGAGGCTCAAGCAGAGAGGTGAAGAAGACAGGGCTATGACTCTGACCTTGAGCAAACTCACTACCCAGTGCAAACACCTTCCAAAGACAAAGGTCAAGAAACATGCATCGCCAGCAGTCCAGCAGTCCAGGATGACAAGAAATGTTGGAGGAACTTCTCCAGGCAGAAGAAATGATGCAAGATCTGTCATCAGATGTATGCAAAGTCGTAAAGAGTGCTGAAAATAGTATACACAGTAGTGAACACAAAAGAATGATTTCCTAAATTTGAAGTGCATCTTCAAAAGATAATTGTTTAAAACAAAAATAATCATGATAAATTATAGGATGTATAACTCCAAATCATGCAGAAGTAAAATGCAAGACAATAATACACAAGCACCCTTCGTTAGGGGTGCTAGAAGGATCTTACAGTGTGTGTGAGGTAGTATGATGTTATTTGGATATGGAGTACAATGACTTAACAACGTACACTGTGAATTCTAGACCTACCACAAAATATAACAACTAAGCCATCAGTGGAGATAACCGGAATCCTAAAACATATCCAATCCCTGGCCAGGTGTGGCAGTACACACCTGTAGTCCTAGCACTCTGAAGGTGGAAGCTGGAGGATTGTGAGTTCAAAGTGACTGGGCTACACAGTGAAACCCTGTCTCAAAAAAACCCCTCAATCATTGCCCTCAAAAGTATTCAAAAAAGGCAGAGAAAGAGGACAAAGAAGCAATAGGGAAAAAAATAAACAAAACCAAAGAGGAAGATGGTAAGTTTAACGCAGTCATTACATAATCATTACTCCAAATAAAAAATGACAGACTGTCAGGATGTTAAAAAAAAAAAAAACAGAAAAGAAATATAATAGCAAAGACAGGTTAAAGTAAACCTCTGGATAAAGATGCAGCATAACAACACTATCAAAAGAAAGCTCGAATGGCTGTACTAATATCAGACGAAGGAGAATTCAGAGTACTGATAAGGAGGCCATTTCATAATGACAAATATTTCTGCACCTAAAAACAAGGCTTTACAATGGGAGGCAAAAACCGATAAAACTGGAAGGAGAAATAAACACATGGATAATTAAACCAGAGATTCCAGCACCTCTTTTATTGACTTATTTTTTGGTGGTACTGGGGTTTGAACTCAGGGCCTCATGCTTGCTAGGCAGGCCCTCTACCACTTCAGCCACTCCACCAGCCCCTCCTTTATAATTAATAGAAAAAGCAGACAGACAAGCCACAAGAATATAGAAGACTCATACAACACTATCACTAAACGAATTCAATTGCATTTGCAGTACACCCTACCAAGGATAAACAGATACTGGATTCCTTTCAAGTAGGCCCCGAAAAGTCCACATGAATGTGAAAGGGCTGAAATCACACAAAGTGTGTTCTCTGATCACAGTGAAATTAATTGGATATCGATACGAAGGTTATATCTGGAAAATCTCCAAATATCTCAAAACTAAAAAATATACTTCTAAATTACCTATACAACAAAAACATTTTGAACAGAAAAAGGAAAAGATACAAAGCAGTGCTTAGAGAAACACTTGCAGAAGTAAGTGCTTAGGCTGGAAGCAGGAAGCCTCTACCTCAGGAAACAAGAAAAAGAAGGATCAGTTAAAGCAACATAAGCAGAAGGAATCATCAAGCAAAGAACAGAATTCAGTGATATGAGGACAGAAAAAAGTTTAA